ATTAAGTCACTGAGTTTTGAAGTTATTCGTTACATTAGCATTACTTATCCTATCCTAGTTGATAAAGCAATTAACCTCAATGCTCCCTATTCTCACTTCCCTGTTTATCACCATCAGTTTCTCTAGCTTTCTAATTCTTACTGGACATGATATAATAGTTGTAAGTGATGCACAGTCTTCAAACAGAACTTAGCAATAACCATGCCAGGAAGTGTCTGGGTTGTTGAACAAAACCTGAAGCCAAGATGCCCTTTCACTCCAGCTTCTGCACACCTGGCCATTTAGGAAGTGTTCTCATAAGTCTGTCTGGCATTAAGAAATATGTGGCATAAAACAAGAAATCCATAATTCACCTTTGAGAGCTTAAAAGGAATAGCAACACAAATAAGACAGGAAGAAATAGAACAATAAAAACTTGTATTTTTTAAAAAAATTAACAAACATTGATAAATTTAATAAATTATTTAAAATTGAATTTTAACCAATCTTTTAAAAATATATTAAGGAGAAATTTAAAGAGTACTTTAGGATCTTGTGGAAAAAAATATAAAGCTTTAAATAACTATTACTTGAAGAAAGAAAGGAGGAAAGGAATGAAGGAGGAAAGGAAGGGAGGGAAGGAAGGAAGGAAGGAAGGAAGGAAGGAAGGAAGGAAGGATGGAAGGAAGATGAAAGTGGTGTGTGTGTTTGTGTGTGTGTGTGTGTGTGTGAGAGAGAGAGGGAGAGAGAGAGAGAGAGAGAGAGAGAGAGAGAGAGAGAGAGAGCACCAAGCATTTCTAGGAGTTGAATTTATATTTCCTAAATTATGCAGTTTTAAAAATCACTTGAATTATCTCTGTCATGTTCCAAATATTGCCAAGGTGCTGGGAACACAAACTGGCAAAGGAGACAGAAACCCACAGTTCCTTTACAGAGCTTAGAGTCCGGAGACAGAGACAGAAAAAGTAAAAGCCAGCAAATATAAGAATTTTAAATTGTTATATACGCTGTGAAGAAAATTCACGCTGTTGCAACATAGAGAAAAATACAGTGGATCTGCTTTTGATAGGATGGTCAGGGAAGG